TCCTCTGCCCCTAGCGGCTGTAGCAGCTGGGAGGCCCCGTGGGGTAGCCGCAGACCTGGCAAATTAAGGGATGGAGGCCACATTCTGGGAGGAACAAGGGTAAAATTAACTGTTGAAGGATGAGAAACAGCAGTCTTTAGAAGATGTAATGGAATAAAAAAGCTCTTCCATAATAGCAATAACAAACCTAAAATAGCTCAGGGGGCAAACATAGAAATATATAGGATCTACATGGGAAAACTATAAAATTCTGTCTGATATAAAAGAACAAGTACACACACAATCTGTTCAAAGAAGAATCAACATGTAAAACATCAGTTCTACTTAAATTAATCCATAGATTCAGTCAATTTGAGATATATCTCAAGAAGACTTTTGGAGGAATTGACAAAATAATCTAAAGCTCAATGAGAATAAACATGTGAGGGGCTGGCCCGGTGGCATAGTGTTTAAGTTTGTGTGCTCCATTTTGGCAGCCTGGGGTTCTCTGGTTTGGATCCTAGGCACGGACCTACTCAGCGCTCATCAAGCCATGCTGTTAGGGGGTCCCACATACAAAACAGAGGAAGATTGGCACAGATGTTAGCTCAGCGACAATCTTCCTCAAGTAAAAAGAGGAAGATTGGCAACAGATGTTAGCTCAGGGCCAATCTTCCTCACCAAAAAAAAAAAAAAAAAAAAGAAAAGAAAAGAAAAGAAAAGAAAAAGAAAAACAAAACCCAAAGAACTAGAAATGGGCAATGCCACATTCCTTAACCTGCAAACAGGTACCTTCCACATCCTTATCTCTTCCTGGTAAGGGTTTTGAGCCTACAAGGCAGAGGCCCAGACCCTGGCCCAAGTCCTGGTGAATTCTCCAAGGTAAAGGCCAGTTTGTGAGCCTCTTGGAAGCCCACCGACACTTCCTCTTACCTTCCGCACACAGGTTCACATATACACTTACTGTGCCTTCCCTCTGTGTTACCTTAGGCTGGGCTTTCCTTTTGAAACTATAACTCTCTCTACTGATTTTCATTTGGAGGGTCCTGTTTCTCATGCAAAGGAAATTTTTTCTGGTTACCAAGTATGTGTGTATTTTTACCAAAAAAATTATGGACAAATGTGAAGACCAGTATAATCCTATTCCCCTCATTACCACTCCTTCCTCCCTTGACTGAGATATAGCTACTATTAACAGCCTAGTATATAGTCTGTCAGGTTTTTTCACATAAATATTTCTTGGGTTTTTGTTTGTTTGTTTGTTTTTTGTTTTCACTGGGAAAGATTTGCCCTGAGCTAACATCTGTTGCCAATCTTCCTCTTTTTTTTTTTTTTCACTTTTCTTTTTAAACACCATGCCACCAGGCTGGCCACTGGGTTTTCTTTTCTTGCCTCTGGGCTGACCATTGCCCTCTGTCCTCATTCTCTTTCTTCCACTTTGGAAATCACAATTGCTTTCTAATCCTGCTTCCTTGGGATTGCCACTAGAGTACCAGATTTGAAGTCGTGGGTGGTCTTAAACACTGTAGTCAAAGATTTACAGATAATCTCTTGGTTACTCCCACAGGTGGCTGATCATATCAAGAGTGTAGTTTCTGAGAGGGTACCACTCAGGGTACCACTGTTCCAAAAATAATAAACAGAGACAAAACTGATGTATATCATGCTGGGTGAACTCAGGCTGTGTTTCACCTCCTGTGCCAGAGGTCTGTGTAACCCCATGACAGCTCTGCCCTCCCAGTGCTGTCCTGGGAGTGCCCTTGTCTGTGGGTCTGGAGTGAGGATGTGGAGGCCAAGATGGCCGGCACCCATTCTTTCTTAGTGACCTTCTCTCGATCTAAAACAACACAATTTTTTCCTCTAACCATTTTTGAAAATACCCACTGTGGGTGGTGTGCATTACTGAGGGAGGCAGCTCCCTTCTGGGTTATGCATTGGGAAAGGCAGAAAGCGAGGCAAGAGAAAGCCCCAAGGCAGGTTCAGATGAAAATTACTGATGGAAACAAGGCAAAAGGTGATGTTCCCAGGTACAGCCTCACCTGGATGGAACTTCTCCAGAGGTAACTGAGACAGATGGGACAGGAGAGAAGAAAGAGCAGGGGGAGGGCAGAGGGAAACGCAGAGGGTGTACGGGGAAAGGCCTGTGCCCTCGGCCTGCTGAGTGAGTGAGGGAAGCCCAGGCCCTTGCAGCAGGGCATGGAGAACACCCACCTGAGTCCCACGTTGTTCATATCATCCCACAGGGAGGCGGGGCTTTCCCAGAATGGCTTCTTAGCATTGGTCAGGATTGCCTGGAAGGCATAGGAAGGGTGATGAATTGGATGATCTGAAGGCAGGAAGGTATGAGGGGCTGGATAATGGAAGGGACAATGAGGACTCAGGGGTCAGAGGGGGAGGTCAGGAGTGTGGAGTTTGGATCAAGTTCAAAGGGCTACCTGGACTCCAGCATAGGCATTGTTGACCAGCACGTCCAGACGGCCCTGTTCCTCATTCACTTGCTCAAATAGGCTTTGCACTTGACTCTCCTGGCTTGAATCACACACCACCGGCACACAGCGGCCCCCTCGGGATTGCGCCTGGAGGGGGACAGAGGGGATATGAGCTCACGGTAGCGCACGAGTGTGAGACAAAATTCAGCTCCCCTTAACTCCCAGCTTGGGAGCTGAGAAGCCAGTCATAGGAATCAGAGCCAATAGCTGAGGGAACATGGTGGGCAATACTGCCCTCTGGTGTCTGTTTGAGGAGTTTCAGGAATGCTAGGTCCTCCCATTATAGAGCAAAGTGGATTGGGATCCCGGGTTTAAAATCTACAGACATTTACTGGGGCCAACCATGTGCAAAGCATTGCACTCTGCATGTGGAAGGTAAGGGACAGACAAGGCATGGAGGCTGCTCTTGAGAAATGAGCGTCTGTCTTTTTTTCATCCTTGGTCATTCCCATCTTGCATGCCCTTAGCTCCCACCTTCACCACTCACATAGAACCCCTACTCAATCCCAGCCCTCTTACCCTCACTCCACCAACACCCCTGCCTGGTAAGTGGGAAATCAAAGCTCTCAGGCACGATCTACTTCTACTTCCCGTTCTGCCTCACCGTCTACAAATGTGCCCCTATCCTCTAACTTCAGAGGAAGAATACCTTATTCAAGAACTATTGTCCAGATCCAGGCTCTGGGTCCCACCCTTTGACCTCCTTACCTCCTAACTGCTCACCTGACCTCCAGTCTTTCTGCCTTAACTTAATTCTTCATACTCCAGACAGTATGAACTACCTAAAACATAAATCTGTTCAAAATCTTCCAACGGGATCACCATCTCTTAGAGAAAAAGGCCAAAGTTCTCTACTGGCTTCTTCCAATACCCATTGTGTCCTCTCTGCAGACTCTCGCCTACCACTCCGTCCTTGTACCTTTATGCTCTGGCATTATTTCTCACAATATCCACACTCTTTCACCATCGTCCCTCTGCTCGTGTAGCTCCCTTTGCTGGAATGGTTTTCTTAACTTCCTTCACCTAACTCTTACCTTTCAAGACTCAGTTCAAGAACCATTTCCTCCAGAATGCTTTCCCTAACCACTCCCCCATTTTCTCTCGATACCCACTGGTGCTCCCAGAACATTCTGCGCCTATCTCCCTCTTATCACTTACTTCATTCGCATTACATTGAAATGATCCATTTCTGCCTCTGACTTCCTGCTAGCCTCTATCTTTTAAAAGCAGAATTATATATTATTAATCTTGCTAACCCCAGTGCTTCATGCAGTACCTAGCAAACCAAATGTACCCAAATATTTATGTAACTGATATCCAGCAGAAAAGTCAAATAAAAACGTACAGTTCAATAAAGTCTTGCCTAAAATAGGGAAAAGCACAGGTCCACAACTCTTTAGTTGCAATTCCAAAATCCCTAACACAGAGCTAACACAGAGTTTTTTCATAAAACTCACTTGGTGGCTAAATTTGACCTGATCTGAAGTTGTTTATGGGGTTTATTTACCCAATTTGAGTTAATAGTCATGTTGGGTTGAGTATTATTGTTTCAGGTAACCGATTAGGAGTGGTTAATGGGACAGGCTCCCTCAGGTGGTTTCTGCCCCTGTGGTTCTAGGGGAAGCACTCACCTCCTGAGCAGTGACCTGCAGCGTGTCCAGATGACGGCCAGTGATGTACACTGTGGCACCAGCTTGGCAGAGCTGCAAGGCGATGCCGCGGCCGATACCCCTGGAAGCCCCAGTCACCACGCACACTTGGCCCTTCATGGGAGCTGCCATGACTCACAAGCAAAGAGGGAAATCTGTGGAAGCAAAGACTTGCTCTGAAGGAAGGCTGCAGATTGTCTATTCTATGGGGAGGGGACCCCGAAAGTGGTAGGAGGGGGGGCCAAGGTTGGGATCCTTTGAGGGGAGAGAGGTTTCAGAGGGGGACAGCGGAGTGCAGGCCACAGGGCAAAGTTGGCTGTCTCTTTCGGGAGGCCCAGGAGTGAAGAACGGGGCTGGGTGGCGCTGTCCAGGGCACCTACTGGGACTCTGAGTAGGGCTGACTAGGGGGGAGCTCCGTGCGGCGTCCTTCATGGCGCATCCGCACAAAGTCTTGGGCCATCTGGAGCTCTCGCCCAACCCCGGCCCAGTCAGGCGGAGCCCGGAGGAGGGGCTTCTGGATCGGAGGTGTGCACGCAGCCCAGGGACCCTGGACCTTAAGTGGGGAGAAGTCCCACTCCTCCTACCTGCCAACTTTGCTGCTTCTGGACTTCCTTTGCTGCCTGGGGAGTCCTCGCGCCGCCTCTCTCGTAAGGTTCTCGGAATCGAGAATTTAGATCCTCCCGCCGGGGGGGTGGTGAGGTGACTACGACGCGGTTAGAGTCCGAGGCTGGCGTGGAAATCCGTATACTGCCCGAGGTTCAGCGGGCAACGTGGAGATCAGGATCAAAGAGCGCATCAGCGGCTCCGGGATACTTCTGGGCGGGGCCAGGACAGGCGCATGGAGGCGGGGCGGTCTGGAGACACACCCCCTCCGGCCGGCTCGAGCGGTCGCTGGACTATGACGCGTACTCTGCGCAGCGAGCGCGCTGGCTTTTCTAAGCTCTGTCGGGGCCTGGCCCACGCTTGGTGGCAGGAGGCTTCTCCGGTGTCCAAGGGAGCCGGTCCCGGAGCGCTCATGGGGCTGGGGCCGCGCTCCCCGCACAAGGCGGGGCGTCGGTTCCCAGCTGGTGGCAAACGAGGCCGCGGGGCCAAGGGGTCGGGGCGCCCCCCACCAGGCCGCCGGCGACAGCCCTGCCCGCCTCCGGACGGGCGCTCGGAGCCGGCTCAGGATGCGCTGCCCCACCTGAGCCCCGAGGCTCTGGGGTACTTCCGCCGGGCGCTGTCTGCGCTGAAAGAGGCCCCCGAGACCGGAGAAGAACGAGGTAGGGAGCAACTTCGCGTGGGACCGAGAGGAACTTGGGCATAAAATCCGGACAGGCGAGGAAATTTTCGTGGGTCTCCATGGCACGGAGACTTAGTTCCATCTCCCATATCCTCTTTCTAGCCCTCCCCGCCTCCCAGCTTGGCCTAACCAAGAACATAACCCTATCCTCCTCTCAGTCTCTTTAAAATATTTCTTTCCTTGTCTTTCCAGAGCTGATGGTGCACAATGTTTTGAAGGAGGTTGAGGCTCAGGCCCTAGCCTTGGCCACGAACAGGACTGGCAGTGAGATGCTGCAGGAACTGTTGGGGTTCAGTCCCCTGAAACCGCTGTGTCGAGTATGGGCTGCTCTGCGCTCCAACTTGCGCTTTGTGGCCTGTCATCGATGCGGGGTCCATGTACTGCAAAGCGCTTTGCTGCAGCTGCCTCGGTTGCTGGGGACCCCTGCAGAGGAGGAGGAGGAGGAAGAGGAGGATGGAGATAGGAAGGATGGTTCCTTAGAGACCCTGGAGGAGCTAGTCCTGGGACTCGCCGCTGAGGTGTGTGATGATTTTTTTTTCTACTGTGGAGACACACATGGCACCTTCGTGGTCAGAACTCTCCTGCAGGTGTTAGGAGGGACTCTCCTGGAGTCTGAGAGAGCCAGGCACCGTGGCTCCCACTCACCTGGTAAGTATTACAAGAGAGGGAAGTGGACCTAAAGGAGAGTTTAGGAAGTTCAGAAGGAGAGAGGGAGCAGAAGAGTATTTCTTCATGACCTTGAAGAATTAGCAGAGAAATTAGGACAGGGTTTAGCAGGCCAAAGGTTAGTGTGTGCAGAGGCCCAGAGGTGAGGACGCCTAGATATGTTTAGGGGACAGCCGTTAGAAGAATGGGGCAAGGGGAAGAGGTGATTCATTTGAGCATTGGATTTCAAACTTTTTTTAAACCACCACTCACAGTAAGAAATCTATTTTTTTTTTAAACAAGACTCAACATACATATGTGTATATATACACATATTAGATTCAAGCAAAAGTTCAGGAAACATTACTCTTACTACATGCAACCCACTTTGATGTTTTCTTTCCTTATTTATTCTGTTCTGTGTATTCCATTAAAAAAATGTCTCTTGAGACCCACTAAATTGATTTCGTGATACACTCAGGCAGCAGCCCACATTTTGAAAAACTCTGGGAAATAAGGGTAGAGAGTTTAGGTAAGGCTTGATTTTGGAATACCTCAAATTCCTGGCTGAGGAGTTTGGACTGTCTCTTGTGAACCATGGGGAAGCTGGTTGAAGTTTTTTAGAAAAATTAAAACAAATGTAATCTGAGTTCACTGATCCAGACGAGAAGAGACATTGAGTTGTACCATATGCGTTCTGCATCTCCAAGCTGAATCCCTGTTCATCTGTGGAATTCTCCCTCCTGGATGGCAGTTTGTGATCTCACTCCTGCACACGTTCTTGATCTTCCTTCAGAAGCACAAAGGGCCCCAACTCGGGACTGTAAGCCAACTGATTTTGAGGTCCCTGAAACCTTCCTGAATTGCCTTCGGGACCTGAGCTCCTGCTTTCTGAAGGACATTGCTGGTAAGGAGGGAGATGGGAGGCTCTAGGATCTACTTTTCTGGGAGTTATTATCAAACAAGGCCCATATTTAGATCAGTGTTATTCCTCTTCAAATCTGATCTGGTTTGATGTTGCAAAGATTCTGTATGGACTCTTTGTGTCCATAGTCCCTTGTACCGTGTTACTTGAGGTTTGAGGTTGTCCAGGTCATCTGGATTTGGGGAAAGCTGCTTTTATTATTTCTGCCTTCTCTCCACAGTGTTTATCACTGACAAGATCTCCAGCTTCTGCCTTCAAGTGGGCTTACAGGTCTTACACCGCAAACTGCCCCAGCTTTGTGCCCACCTCTGCAATGCTGTGATTGGCTACCTGAGTAGCCGCAATTCTTCAGCAGATGGCAGGTATGGTCGGGGCCTCAGGATTGACCCAGGTTGATGGACCTGTGTGAAATGAACGAGGTGATGTGGGTATTTTGGATGGAGTGGAGTTAAGAGTACCCATTCACCTTCTGCTTGTCCCTAGTCCCCTCCTGCTGTTTCTGCGGGATCAGACGAGCTCCAGACTGCTAGAGCAGGTGCTACTGGTGTCGGATCCCCCGAGGCTTCAGAGCCTCTTTGAGGATCACTTCCAAGGGCAGCTGCAGACCCTGGCTGCACATCCTATTGCCAACTTCCCTTTGCAGCGTTTCCTGGATGCGGTCACTACCCCTGAGCTGGTGAGTGGGGAACTTGACTGGGTCTGTTTCTGCACTCTGTTGTTTGTGTTATTCTCATTCAGTCGGCCTTATTTTATTGTGTGCCTGCCTCTGTATCTCTGACAGTGTGCTGGCCTTTTCTCTTGAAAAGTTGTTCCCTGGGGGTTTCCCAGAGCTTAGGGTGAAGATGCCTTCTTCCCAGAGAGGATTTGCTTTGGCTTCTCTCAGGCGCCACTACCAGCAGGCGACTGGCTTAATCCAAGTTCACAGCTTGAGGTTCTGTGGCCCACTCATCTTGGCTACAAATCCACATGAGGGCTGGAGCTGTTGCCATGGCCTCTCTTTTCCTTTGCTGCTTAGCACCAAGGCATGCTTCCCCGGATCTCCTGGGTTGGGAGTTAGGGTGGAAGGGCAGATTTCATTTTCCCTTACCCTGAGAGTGTGGCCATTTAAAGTCTCCTCTACATGTGAGGCAGCACCTCCAATCCTGCTCTCTTGTCTTGGACCTTCCTTATCTGGCCAAACCAAAGTTCTGATAATGGCAATGCTTTTATGTTTTATCTAGCATTTTTAGTTGTTTTTGGCAGGAAGCTTTCTTTGAATAACTTAGCCCACCATTACCAGAATGCCAAAGATTCTTTACCCCATGTCTCCGCTAGCTATCGCCCATGTTCAAGGAGCTGAGCCCTGCCCTGGAAGCTGTGTTAGCCCAAGGTCACCCAGGGGTCATCGTTGCCCTGGTGGGGGCCTGCCGCAGAGTTGGGACCCACCAAGCCCAGGTCCTGCAGCTGTTGTTGGAGGTGAGTGAGTGTTACCCACAACCCATTTATGCCCTCAGTTCAAATTCCACCTGTTAAGACTTAGCTAATCTTTTCTTTCTTTTTTTTTTGGAGGATTGGTCTTGAGCTAACATCTGTTGCCAATCTTCCTTTTTTTTTTTTTTCTTCTCCCCAAAGCCCCAGTACATAGTTGTAGGTCATTCTAGTCTCTCTGTGGGATGCTGCCACTGTCTGGCTTGATGAGCGGTCCATAGGCCTGTGCCGTGGATCGGAACCGGAGAACCCCGGGCCGCTGAAGTGAAGTGTGGGAACTTAACCACTCAGCCACGGGGCCAGCCCCAAGACTTGTCTGATCTTCAGTGGTTGTATCTCTGGGACCCAAGAGGTCTCGTGCTCAGGGAGTTCAGATACAGGGCAGAACGAGGCCAAAGCATCTCACAGTCCTGCAAGGAAAACTACCTCCCAGAACGAAGAGAGAAGTTTATTTAAGACATAAATGTTTATTCAACCCCTGTTGTTTGTATAGAGGCTGGGGATACAGAAGGCAGGCGAAGTCCCGTCCTTGCGCAGCTTACATTCTTGTGGAGTTAGGTGTTCTCACCTCTCCTGAATGCTTTCCCCTGTCAGAAGGTCGGGTTAGGGATGAGGTGGTTCTCAGAGTCATCATGTTTTGTCTTCCCTTCTAGGCATTCCACTGTGCAGAGCCCTCTTCCCGGCAAGTGTCCTGTGTGCCTCTCTTTGCCACTTTGATGGCTTATGAGGTGTACTATGGACTGATGGAGGATGAGGGGGCAGTGCCTGCGGAGCACCAGGTGAGGTAGGGGAGAGGCCAAGCCAGTGACTAATTGGGGACCAGGCCTCCCAGGGCTTAGGAAGCCCCTCACCACTGAGGTGAGGGTGGTGAGATCTCTGGCTCCATCCCAGTGAAGGTGGCAGTCTGGTGGTTACCTCCTAAATTCCCTGTCTCTGTCCTCCCAGGTGGAAATGGCCACAGCCAGGGCCCTGGGGGAAGTGACGGTGCTTGGGTCTCTACTGCTCCAGCATCTGCTGCACTTCTCCACTCCTGATCTTATACTTCGAAGTCTGGGTGCCTTGACAGGACCGCAGCTTCTGAGTCTGGCCCAAAGCCCTGCTGGTTCCCACGTGCTCGATACCGTCCTGAGCAGCCCCTCCGTGACGCGCAAGCAGCGCCGCCGTGTGCTGAAGACCCTAAAGGTTAGACTTCTGGCTTCTGCTTTGATTCCTCTGCCGTCATCCACTGAGAGAATGTGAGCTTCCCAGGACTGTCCTTCAGAGTCACAGAGAATATGTAGTTCCTAGATTGTTACGACTCAACCTCTAAACTTCCAAAAACTTTACCTCCCCCGCCAACACACTTTTGTGGCCTGCCATAGAGGGACCTATCTTGCTTGTCTCAATGCAGGGACAATATGTAGCTCTGGCCTGTAGTCGCCATGGCAGCCGTGTGCTGGATGCCATCTGGAGTGGAGCAGCCTTGGGGGCCCGGAAGGAAATTGCTGCAGAGCTGGGTGAGTACTGGCACCTCTCTCTGATCTTTCCAGACTTTCTTTCCCTCACTCCAGTAGCTGGGTGGCTGGGTAGTGGACTTAAATTCAGCAGAGACTTCAGTTCCAAAGGGTGGTCTCGGCTTGGGTTCTTAGCAGTCAGCTCTCTGCTTCTCCTCTGCTGATCGTGCAGCCCTGTGCGCCCACCCCTTCTCCCAGCATCTCTTCTTTGCAGATTGAGGTGTTAAGTCTATACCCAGGCAGGCACAGGGTCCAGGGAAAATGGAGGGACCTTCACCCCAAGTAGAGTCTCTTCAAGCGTGGGTGGGTGACTGCATGGTGATACTGAACATGAATGGTTCCCTTTGCAGGGGAGCGGAACGAGGAGCTCTTAAGAGACCCTTTTGGCCACCATGTGGCTCGAAATGTGGCCCTGACTACCTTCCTGAAGCGGCGAAAGGCTTGGGAACAGCAGCAGGGGGCAGTGGCCAAGCGGAGACGGGCTTTGAACTCAATACTTGAAGACTGAGGCCTTTGGATCTGGGACTGGGTGTTGATGGGGGAGGGGAAAGGGAGTATCTATCCTGTCCTCTTCCTAGTTTAAATTGGAGTCAAAGACTTATTGATAAACATTTTTATATTTTTATTGGACATGTGTTTGTTATTTTTTGGGGGAAGGTTTCAAACAAATAGAGATGTCAAGGTAAAGTCAGAGAGGGCTGCCCTCAGTGCACTGGGGAGCTTAGGGAAAGGAAGAGTTGTAAGGACATCTAGATGTAGCAGCAGTCAGGGAGGGATCAAGATGCCTGGGGCCAGGCTTGTGGCCTTTCAGGCTATGTGGGAGGCTGGAGAGATGGCTAGGCAGGGACAGCATTCTTCAGGAATAGGCATAGGCTAGGGGTGTAAGGCATTATGCTGATGGAGTCTGTTACAATGGGGTCAGAGGACACTGGGGGAATCAGGTAAGTTATCTGGTCTGCACTGTCTGCACAAGTCTGCGGGTCCCCAAACTTGATGTTGTCAGAGTCCTTACAGTCTGTCTCTTGGAATGAGTAGTGGCAGAAGCTCAGAGCCCCTTCTCAGTAGCGATGGAGGCGACCCTGACGCTGCAGCTGCCACTGCTCAGCCCCTTCTACCACATGTCGAAGGGTGGAGGAAATTCCCAGCAGTATATGGCCCAGGCCTTGCAGCAGAGCGGAGATCCATCGGAGGAGCTCCCTGAAGGGCAGACAGCAGGAAGTCAGACGGGTAGGGGAAGGGAGGGGAAGCCGGGAGGAGGCCGTGGAGCTGGGGGCTGGGGGTTTCCACAAGGGGTAGGAGAGTGCAGGAGAGGGAATTATGGGGACTGCAACTCTAGGGATGGGGAAGTATGACTTGGTCTCTGACCTGAGTACTTTCTTTGGGCCGAGTCCTTGTATGTCACAACTCATGGAGTAGAGCCCGTAGAATGTGGCTTTGATGTTCAGGCTGCCAAAAAGGTCTCGAGGGTTTTGCTTGTATACGTCGAAGGTGATGCGGGCGATGTCCTTGCTGTGCTTGGGCTTCTCCCGGCCCAGACCATAAGACAGCACCCTGCTCTGTAGGGCACCCCCATCAGTGCAATGGACCCTCACATACTGACACCCACCACTAATCCCCATCAGCACCAGGACAGACCTGCCCTTGTCTGGATTGTTTGTCCACTATAAGGTGTCCTTGACAACTCATCTCTCCCATTGCCTCTGCCCCCAAGATCAGGGTCAGGCAAGAGAACAGGCTTGCGAGAGAGAAGGACTGGTGACCTATAGCAGTCCCCGTGTGGGCCTCACCCTGATGGGGCTCCAGCTCTGCCCGGACTCCAGCACCATCAGGCACGTGTCATCCTCCAACAGCTGGAAGAAGTCCTCGCTCTCCACGGCTGTCCCGTCCTCCTCTAGCACCAGTGTCAGCACTCCGCTCAGCAGCAGGGTCTCCAATGCCTAGGCGACCGGTGGCGGGAAGCAGGAGGGAAGGGGCAGAGCTTATCCTGTGCTACTTCCCTTCCAGCAGCCCGCATCCCTCTGCTGGGCCCAGACACGGGTTGATATCCCAGCTCTTCGCCCCGGGGCTTTGCCATCCTTTCAAATGGCTCTAGTGTTCTTAGTCGTTGGGGAACCCTCACTGAGGGCAGATGGTTTTTTCCTATTTGCTCCTGCTTTGCTCCTACCATGTCATCGTCATCTCCCTGTGCTTCCCTCTAAGCCACTCCTGCTGGTTTGAAACTGATAAGCTGGCCAGGTTCTCTGGAAGTCTATCGTTCAGGAATGGGTATAGGCTAGGGGTGGAAGGCATTATGCTGGTGGGGCCTGTCACATGGGGTCTGATCTCCAATGTCCCTCCTCACTTTCCCCCATGCTTACAGAGGTATCCAGAGCTGTTTTCACTCACACTGACTTATCCTTGAGTCTTCTATGTAGCACTGTACACACATTATCCTCTACTCCTTTCAGTAGCCCTAAGGAGTAGCTATGTCATTCCCTTTTTATAGATAAAGAAACTGAGTTTTGATAGGTTCAATAACTTCCCAAAGTTTGATGTTAGGAGGTGGCAGAGTTAGGATTTAAACTTGTTTTATCTTATGACTTGCCATTTTATACTGATTTCTGAACTCCATCCCTCCCTATCTACTCCTTCCCCTACCCTCAAGGAAAAGCCCACTCCTTGGGGAAAAAATGAATTGACCCAAGTGCAGCAGAGGTCATTGCCCCCTCAGTCCCCCCCCTTCAGCCCTTTCTGCTGTCATTCCAAATTCTCACTCTTCTTGAGCCCCTTGGCTGTCCCTGCAACAGAACCCAGGGACTTGGCTCCCTTACCTTGTCTAGCAGTTCCTGTCGGGTGGCAGCTGTCAGACCTTTCCGGGTGGTCCGCTTGTGATCACAGACACGGAAAGGTCGCTGGGGTGGTGGAGCTGAGGTCCAGACCCTACGGCCAAACTCAGAGCTCATATTGGATACTGACCTGGTAGTTGGGAAGAAAGGTCATGAAGGAGTGAGGGGTTTGGTGGGTGCAATGGGGATGATGGGCTGGAGAGTTAGGGAGGGAGGGAGGGATCTGGGTTTGTAGCCTAGGGAGAGGGAGAGACCATGGAAAGGGGTGGGGAAGCGGTGGCTCAGGGCTGGACAAGCCCCCAGTGCAAAGCCGGGGCGAGGAGGGGAGGGGTGCAGCTCGCCAGGCTCCTAGGGGCTGAATGGAGTTCCATTGCCTTGCCTGTATCCCCAGAGTTGGAGAGTGGAGAGGAGGGTTAGAAGTCACCTGAGCAGGCCGCTGGGGTTGAGGGCGGAGAGGTACTCCATGGTGGCCGGAAGGCGCAGGAGAGTCCTGGGCCGGGTGGTTCTCTGCTGTGCTGGGGCTGAAGTGGTGGTGTTTTCTGTTACAGAGCTGGGACCTCAGCCACAGGGAGGTGGGGGATGAGTCAAGCCCGGACTCTGGCCCCCCAGGCCTGGCCAGTAAGAAGGGCAAAGTCCAAGGGGAGGGAGCAGGGGAGGGACCTAGATGGGGTCTTAGAGGAAGGATTAAGGCCCAGAGTTGCCCGGCAAAAGCCTGGAAGTTTGTGTGTGTGTGTCTCTGGTGGCGGCACCCGATGTGAGGGTAAATGGGAACTATGTGAGAGAATGGAATGTGGTGTCTGGTGTTTTTCTTTCTATGGAGGGAATTTCTAGGAAGAGTTTCTGGCTCCCAAACTGTGAGAAGCCGCATTATGTGTGATTTGCACCGTACATGCTGCCACCTAATGAAAGCCATAAACTGCAGCTTTAAGACGAGGGAGGCGGGGCTGAGGATGGGATCTTGGTCAGGGCTTGGAGAAAATGGGAGGTGAGGCAGTGTGCCTGGGTTGGGGGTGGGGAGAGGATGGGTCCTGATCCATGGATCCAGGATCAACAGGATCCTGTCTGGGAGACTCTGCCTTTCTACTCTCCTGCTCTTTTCTCCATGGTCTAGGGCAGGGGCTAGCTCAACATCTCTCTGGCTTCATTCTCCAGAACTACCTGCTTCAGCCACACTGGACTAGTCACTTTCTCGGCTTTCTCCTTTGGCCACTTAATGGGCACGAGGCAGATGTGAAGGGGCGGGAGGTGTCCTTTGATGGCATCAGGACTTTAGCTTTGGTGCCCCGTCCCATCTCTGATTTCAGCTGTGATGGATGGTTGTGTGGAAGCTCAAGACTCTTGCTGACAGTGGACCCCTCACGTGAGCACACGTCTCTCTGCTTTCCTCCTAGGAGTTTGCCTGAAGCTGTGGCAGCTTACTCAGCCCTCCCGACAAGTACAGGCTGCAGGTGTGTCTAGGGGCATTAATACCTCTAGGACAGCCAGCAAACAGTGGGCGAGCCGGCATAAATGCCCCAGGCTCTGTCTCTCTGGAAGGCATTCTGTGTCCTTCTCAGGCCTGATGCCTACTAAAGGGACTCAAGAGCACGCCCTCATTGGCTCTCCTCTTCCCTCTCTTCCTCTGCTCCTCACTCCTGCTTCCTGAGCTGACCTCTCACATACAGAATCACCTGTACAGACGCCCTCTACTCAGGCTCTGCTTTGGAGGGAACCCAAACGGAGACAATACTGGTGTCCTGGCTCCTGAGGAACCCTCAGTTCTGGCTGTTGACTGGGCAGGGGCCTTTCTTTCCCCTTCCTTCAACTTTATCAATCTGCCAAGTCCCCCTCAAATTTCCTCATTTCCAGGCTTTGCCTGACTTCTCCACCCAGAGAAGGCTTCTTTCCAGTATGTCTCCACCACTGCACTCTTTCCTTTCCTCTTGTTCCGAATCCTGATGTAGCCCTGTTGTGTGGTCTCTTCACAGATGTGTTATGAGTCCTCAACCAGCTTATAAGCCCCTGACACCTCCATGCATCTCCCCTTTCCCCTAGAACTTAGCATTGTGCTTGCCACTGAAAGCTGTCATTGACAGCCCAGTGAGAGCCCTGGGGGAGGAATGACTGGGTCAGGGCCCAAGGCAAGACAGGAGAGGGGTAGGTGGGAAGCTGAGGAAAAGGGGGCTCAGCAGGGTCAGGAGTGCAGAAAGGTGAGGCTAGAGCAGCTGGCGGAGTGAGTGGTTTGGGTCACCTTCTCTGTGAGGGCAGCCAGGGAGGCCAGGAAGCATACAGGCTTCAAGGCCAGAAGCACTGCGACCGGAGCTGAGGGAGGGATGAGTGCAGAAGCAGGACCCAGGGTCAGGATTCTGCAGTGTCCCTCCTCACCCACACAGCCAGGGAAGCGTGTCTGCACCCCTTAAGCTTTTCCAGTTCCGGAGAGGCAGGTTCTCGCATGCCTGGATGGTTAGTGATGGGAAGGAGTCGGGTGAGGGAGGGGCCCCAGCAAAGGCTGAGAGGAGCCCCACCTTGTCCCTCCCTCTTCTCACCTCACCCTCTGCAAACCTGACAGGCACAGGACAGGCAGCGACACCTTGCCTTTCAGCTTCCCCAGGCCCTTCGCTGCCCCCAACCCTGCCAGCTCCCAGCTGGGTAAGCAGATCTGCCAACGCGCCGTTACTCCCCACCATGTGCTTTTGCCCTGAGGTATAAGGAATGAAGCTGAACAAAGAAGGAGGGGCCAGGCTAGAGGGGTGGAGGTGGAGGTAGTGACAGCCTGGGAGTTAGGACTGGGGAGGTCAGCTGACTGAAAGCAAGGATTTGGGTTCCAAGAAGTAGGCTTGAGTTGGGGCTGGGGTCCTGAGAGAGGAGAGGCGGGCTGCTGGGAAGTAGGGGCAGGTGCAGTCCCTCTCACCGGCATCCCCCACCCCCGCCCGCCCCGCCCGCCCGCCAACATGGGCTTTTGCGCCACCACTGAACGCGCTCTATGGCTTTTCCAGCCCCTTGTAGGCGCAGGAGGATGTCGGTCTGCTACCGTCCCCCGGGGAATGAGACGCTGCTGAGCCGGAAGGCCTCACGGACCACAGGCTCGGCCTTCCTTCTGCTGGCGGCACTGCTGGGGCTGCCCGGCAACGGCTTTGTGGTGTGGAGCTTGGCGGGCTGGCGGCCCGCACGGGGGCGACCGCTGGCGGCCACGCTCGTGCTGCACCTGGCGCTGGCCGACGGCTCGGTGCTGTTGCTCACGCCGCTCTTCGTGGCCTTCCTGACGCGGCAGGCCTGGCCTCTGGGCCAGGCGGGCTGCAAGGCCGTGTACTACGTGTGCGCGTTCAGCATGTACGCCAGCGTCCTGCTCACCAGCCTGCTCAGCCTGCAGCGCTGCCTGGCCGTCACGCGCCCCTTCCTGGCACCGCGGCTGCGCAGTCCGGCCCTGGCCCGCCGCCTGCTGCTCGCCGTCTGGCTTGCCGCGCTGCTGCTCGCCGTGCCGGCCGCCGTCTACCGCCACCTCTGGGGGGACCACCTGTGCCAGCTGTGCCACCCGTCGCCGGCCCACGCCGCCGCGCACCTGAGCCTCGAGACTCTGACGGCCTTCGTGCTTCCCTTCGGGCTGGTGCTCAGCTGCTACAGCGCGACGCTGGCGCGGCTGCGGGGCACCCGCTGGCGCACCGGGCGGCACGGCACGCGGGTGGGCCGGCTGGTGAGCGCCATCGTGCTCGCCTTCGGCTTGCTCTGGGCGCCCTACCACGCGGTCAATATTCTGCAGGCCGTGGCCGCGCTGGCGCCGCCCGAAGGGGCCCTGGCGAGGCTCGGCGGGGCGGGCCAAGCGGCGAGAGCTGGAACGACGGCTTTGGCCTTCTTCAGCTCCAGCGTCAACCCGGTGCTCTACCTCTTCACCGCCGGCGATCTGCTGCCCCTGGCAGGTCCTCGCTTCCTCACTCGGCTCTTTGAGGGTTCCGGAGAGGCCCGAGGGGGCGGCCGCTCTAGAGAGGGGACCCTGGAGCTCCGAGCTACTTCTCGACTCAAAGTAGTGGGGCAGGGCAGGGGGAATGGAGACCCCGGGGGCGGGGCGGAGAAGGACAGTCAGGGATGGAACCCTTGACACCAAACCCTGCACCCGGGCCTGCTCTTTCCTGTCTCCTTCCGTCGCCCCCCAGAACTCAGGGAACCGCTCTGGAGCATTTGCGGATCCTTCTCCGATGTAGTTTGGAACTATCTGGGCAGAATTATTATACACCTGGGGCAGGCCTAGGTTCTTCCAAACTGAGGGGTTGTCGTGGTGATGGTCCATGTGAGTGAATATTGTGTACTCGCAGGCTGGCATATGCTCATGTGCCAGAGCTGCTTATTTGTCGCCAACAGCTATGGTGAAATACGCTGGGCAGCCATTAGATGATGGCTTAAGCTTGCGCCCCCTGGTGGTGCATCATGACTGAGCTGTGTTGAAGCTGCCTGGTTCCCTGCTGGGTCAAGCCAAGGCTGGGCAGCACCAGCCTTCAGTGGCATCCTAGCCCAGGTGGCCTGGTTCCCGGAGGCCAACTCATAGAACCACTCTGAAAATAAAGAGAGAAAGAGGAAGGAAAGGTAAGGACGCTTGGATGAGGAGTGGGGCTGAGGTCCATTCTCTGGAGTCTGTAAGGGTTTGGCTCTGGAAGGGGAAAGTCAATGTGTGGGGTTTGAAAGGAATGTTTTCCTGTCTTGCGGTTGGTACAGTGGGGGAGGGGCCCTGGGAGTCTGAGACTTATCTTTCTCTCTGAATCCAACTCTCCCCCCAAAGGTCACTTGACTCAAAAATTTGCCCAGGAGCAGGCACAGGCTCACCCAGGGGATGTTTGGGGGTTGGGGACAAGGGGCTATGGGGAATGGTGTAGATATTTGGACAACAAAAAGAATTTTTCAGGGAGGGGCCACCTGTCCTTTCTCTCCGTTTTCTCTCTGCCAAGTCTTGACTCCTCTCAAGCCTTCCAGCTGTTCCTCACCCCCACTCCCCAACACTTCTCAGCCCCCCATCTTTTGGAAGCTTCCCATCTCTAGCTCTCAAACCTGTTCTGGACCTTGATGCTTTTCAGTTTGGGGATGTAAGATGAGATTCTTTTTATGGGACGTCCACATGCACACACCTGTAGTCAGGGTGACCAGTGCCTCCCGATTTGCCCAGGACTTTCCCAGTGTTGGCACTGGAAGGCTCTTGTCCCGGTCCCCTCAGTCCCTGGCACATGGAGATGGTTGGTTCCCTCAGGGGTCACCCTGACCATCACCCCAACTTCTGCTTTCGTGCTTCTTCACACCACCCAGGCAGAGGCCAAGAGAGAGCCAAGGAAATCCAATCCTCAGGGTCACAGCAGGGTCACCAAAGCTCCAGGGGTGGAGCTCTAGACGTGGGGGGGGGCAGGGAGTATGCCTAGAGTATCTAGTCTGGGGTGGAAGAAGAAAGACCATTGAAAGAGATGGAGGTGGGAGGCAGCTTGGGAGAGGAGGCAAAGACAACCCAGTTTCCATCAGAACAGGCCTCTGAGTCAGAAGCTTCTATCCCCAAACAGCGACTGCGGGGGCTTCTTCCTGTCCTCGGGCACCGGGTCAGAGGCTCCTAACTTCCTCTGTTACATATGCCTGTGTGGTCAGAAAGCCCTTCCTCAGCTCTACCTTCAGTTCTTGCTGTGGTTTCAGCCCAGTGCTTTTCATCATATCTTCTGCCTGACAGCTACTGAGTCAACGCGGTGGTGGCTCTTCTCAAAGCAGAGGAAGTGGGGACACTGCAAAGGGTAAGGGACCTCAGTGACCACCGGTACACTCTGCATCTTTCCTGAGAAGTGACAGATTTGAAAAGGAAGCAGGAAGCCTCATGGTCAGATTGAAGGAAAGACTTTCCATTTCTTAGCTTCTGTAGGAGAGCTCCAGAAGAGGAGACTGCCCTCCTTCCGGGCAAGGGGAAGAGTGCTCCTTTTAGGGACTGTTTCCCTTTCCACATTCCTGGTCTCTCCTCTTGGCAGGGCACTGTCCCCACTCCCTCATGCCTGCTGCCTAAACTCAGCCCCTACTTTCTCTGTGTGTCGAAGGTGGGACTGACAGTCGGCTGTGGGAAGGTAGGAAAGAGGTGGTGCTGACCTCCTTGCCCAGCGCCCAGACCTTAAATCCAAACTCATGTGGCAGCGCAGCCACATGGGCAAGAACAAGGCGAACGGTTGGGAGAAGGGGGAGAAATTGGCATTTTAAGTGATACTAAAGAGACTCTTTGGACTTTCGCTTCTACCAGAGAGAAGGGAAAAGTGATTGACCTAGAATGGAACCAGTCCTTTTGAATGAGGGGAGGGATTGGGGGTGCAGGAAGAGAGACCTCTCCCCGGACTCTGCTCATGGCTTGAACGCAAGCCAAGGACAGGGTACTGTCCTCTTTAAGTCACGATGTTGCCTAACCCAAACTCTGAACCTAGCCACACCTCCAACCTACACTTCCTATTAATTTAAAAATCTACACCCTTCACACAATATAAAGATAGCCCGTATTCCGGCCTCTTAATCTGAGCCCATTTCCCATCTCCGGCTTCCCTCTCTCCTCTTGGATGACATAATTTATTACTCTGTTCGCTTCTCCAGTCTAGACCTGCATCTGAGGTCACACCCCAGCCTACTCACTCCCCGCACCCCTCTTTCCTCTCTCACTGCCCCTTCCTGGGCTCTTCTCATCTGGCCCCACCCCTGAGGAGTCCTCCTCCCGGCTGGGCTCTTCTGGAACACAAAGACTATTCCCTCTTCTAGTGAAGGGAGGGAGTAGGAGTTTCAGCCCCTCCCTGAGGACGATGTGTCTTCCCCCTGCCCTGCTCCGTAGTACTTCCTCTCTGGCTGACTTAGCTGACAGCACCCAGGCCCAGGGCCAGGCCCCTGGCACTGGGACAGATCTGGGGATAGGCTACACCACTCTGCCCTGACCCTGGGATTGGCACCAGCTTCCAACCAGTACCTGGAAGAGCCTGTAAGTAAGTATCCTGGGAGTAGGAGAGGTGATGGTGGGGCGGGTGCAGCCATGAGAGAAGGTACTGAGGAATTTCCAAAGACAGCCTTACCAGTGATAAAAGGACTTGGGAGGATTTGTTCTTGTCTCTTATCCACAAACTTCTCCCCATCCCTGTTATTCCTGGTGGACCCTGGGCATCTCTGGGGAGAGTAGGCAGGTGACTGGAGGAAGTCAATGGGACTGCGGTGGCTAGGGGCCTGGCAGGGTACAGAGGAGCTAGCCTTTGGAGGGGTGCAGCATTGGTAAGGAAAGCCCCCAGTTTGGAAGGAAGCTGAAAGGGTGTGGAAATACTGCCGCTGCTGTTGCCGTTGCCATATATTTTGCTATTGGGTCTGTGGGCAGGAAGGGGCCCTGTGGCCCAGTCAGGAAGTCAGTCTTTCTACTCAGCTGGATCCCCTTAAGACAGGTCAATTGGCAGTGATGAGGGCAGTATATTGCACAGGTCCGTCTGACACTGCTGATCTTGGAGACAGACTCCAGTATTCAGGCTAAGTGTGTCCAAGGTGTCAAGAAACCCTTGGTCCCCCACCCTCATGAGTGTGTCCACTCTCACTCTCCAGGTCCTTGCAATGGCCACAAACATTACATCTCCTGTAACACCCTCCTCAGTAAGTGGCATGGTCATCCCTCTGCTGGCTATCATCCTACTGTCAGTGGCGCTGGCTGTGGGCCTTCCTGGCAACGGCTTTGTGGTGTGGAGCATCCTGGTAAAGATGCGGAAGCGCTCTGTCACTGCCCTGCTGGTGCTGAACTTAGCTGTGGCTGACTTGGCTGTAGTGCTCACTGCCCCCTTTTTCCTCCACTTCCTGGCCCGAGGCACCTGGATTTTTGGATCAGCTGCCTGCTGCCTGTTCCACTATGTCTGTGGAGTCAGCATGTATGCCAGTGTCCTGCTTATTACGGCCATGAGTCTGGACCGCTCGCTGGCAGTGGCCCTCCCCTTTGTGTCCCAGAAGATCCGCACCAAGAGGATTGCCTGGCGGCTGCTGGCAGGCCTCTGGGTGGTGTCCTTTCTGCTGGCCACGCCTGTCATCGTATACCGCAAAGTAACCTCGGGACGCAACAACAGGACCCTGATCTGCTTCCCAGTGTACCCCAGTGAGGGACACAGGGCCTTCCACCTGCTCTTCGAGGCCATCACTGGCTTCCTGCTGCCCTTCCTGGTCGTGGTGGCCAGCTACTCCGACATCGGGCGCAGGCTGCAGGCCAGGCGCTTTCGCCGCAGCCGCCGCACGGGTCGCCTGGTGGTGCTCATCATCTTGACCTTCGCTGCCTTCTGGCTGCCCTACCACGTGGTGAACCTGGCCGATGCGGGCCGCGTGCTGGCTGGCAAGGCCTCTGGGTCCGGGCTGGTGGGGCACCGGCTGTTCCTGGCCCGCCAGGTGCTCATCGCGCTGGCCTTCCTGAGCAGCAGCGTGAACCCCGTGCTGTACGCGTGCGCCGGCGGCGGCCTGCTGCGCTCAGCGGGCGTGGGCTTCGTCGCCAAGATGCTGGAGGGCACCGGCTCCGAGATGTCCAGCACGCGCCGTGGGGGCACCCTGAACCTGACTGTAAAGGGCGCCCCCACCTCCCCCGAGCCTGCACCCTCCGAGAGCCTCACTCTCTCCACCAACCCTCTCGAATGAAGCGAACCCAAGTGGGCCTGGGGGTATGGTGATGGCGGAATGCCCCCTTGCCAGCCTGACCCAATTTCTGTACCCCAGGAGGAGAACTCATGTTGGGGGTGGAGCGGAAGAAGGGGGGGGGGAGGGCCGAGTAAGGGCGGAGTGAGAGCCTGGCTCCCGAGGCAGCTTTACAATTAAAACTGAGTCTGAAATTGGGTCAACTCTGTATGTGGGGCGTGTGTATTATGGGGGATTGGGGTGCTCCTGGGCGCCCTTATGGGGGACCTTCTCAATAGTTGAGAGTCACATCCTTTAGTTTCCCATGATTTTCAGTTGTGGAAGGGACACAGAGACGTAGAAATCAGACCCCTCCTCCCCTCCTCTATTCTGAGGCAAGCCATCTGCAGCTCACCCTTAGAGCCAAACAGGTCCGCAGACTCTTGAAGGCGCTGACCAAGGAAGACCACCCATTTGGGCTCATCTCTCCAGACTCCCTGACCCATCGGACCTTCCGAGGAAACTTAGCCCAGCCGTGGGGCATCTACCCTGAAGCCTGGGATGGGTATAATTGTTAGCATGACTCCAACTTTCTGCCAGTAATCTTCCTCCTCTCAGTGGGAGATGCTCTCGGGGATTGCCTTCCTTCCCCCCATCTCCCAAGGAGGCTTCACTTGAGAACCAGGTCATCAGATGTCATCCCCAAGAATTCCGCACATCAGCATCCGCCAGCCCCCAAAACATGCGCTGGTACAGGGTGGGGCTGAGGGCCCATGTGACCCTGATCACCCTTAGGAAACGAAGACTCCCCAAAGTGAGAGATGAGTCATTCTTTCCTCAGAATGACTTTTGTCTTGGAGAGCCTTGAACTGGCTCTGTCCTGACAGCATTTAGGAAGATGGTAGCAGCAGTGGCAGTGGTGTACTTTTTGAATCTGTCCCAGAAAAAGAGAAAGCGCAACTAGGAGAAAACCCAAAAATCCATGTGCAACATCTTCCGCAAACCTAGGATGTTGAGATCTCCCCTACGGACCCCAAAATATGAGCAGGTGGGAATGGGCTGTGGATGCTTCAAACCCTACATAATATCAGCATCTGTGCAGAAGGATGCAGAAGGAAGCCAAGGGCATCTGAGGGACCTGAGAACAGAACCCCCAAACTGTCTACAGGTCCTCGCTGGAAAGCTGGGTGGGTCAATCTGAGAAGAGCAGCTAAAACAGGGAGAGACCTAACAGGTTATTTCTCAGGCCTCCCACCTATGCTGCATAGGAAGCACATAGTGGTGCTTGTTTAGTGTTTGTTGAATGAATAAAGTTCAAATGACATTTTCCTGGAGATTCCTTCTAATATTTGTGGGCGGGGAGCAGGAAAGGACAAATCCATGTTTTTGGTTTTTTTTTTTTTTGAGGAAGATTAGCCCTGAGCTATCATATGCCGCCAATCCTTCTGTTTTTGCTGGGGAAGACTGGCCCTGAGCTAACATCCATGCCCATCTTCCTCTATTTTATATGTGGGACACTGCTACAGCATGGCTTCACAAGTGGCATGTAGGTCCACACCCGAGATCTGAACTGGTGAACCTCAGGCCACTGAAGCATAACGTGTGAACTTAACTGCTGTGCCACTGGGCCAGCCCCGACAAATCCATGTTTTGAGTCACATGACTAAAATTCTTTATGCTTCCAAGGCATATGCTTTATGCCTCAGGCAGGCTGAGGCAGTCCTCTTCCTGAGCTTATGTAAAAGAATAACTCCTTTCTAACACACTCATGCTCCCACTTGCACACATGCTAGCACTCAATTTGCCTTGGAAGAAGGTGTCCTGCTGAGAGGCAAGGAGGAGAAGGATCCCTAGATATACCAGCAGCTCTGACATCAACTGGCTCCAGATGTAACAGAGTCTCTTTATTGAGGATCCTAGAGGTGGAGGGGAGGGGGCGGCGGGTCTCAGCCCAGGGCGGCAGAGGGAGGTCCAGTTCGTGTCAAATCTGTGTTCAGGAAGTAGGTGCAGAGCTGCCCTTTGCCTTTGACCTTGATGACACCCCGGCTGTAGCAGGTGTAGCCTAAAGACTGCAGGGCCCGAGCTGTCTCTTCAGTCACCTGCAAATGGAGGGGAGTGAGGGGCTGTGGGGGTGGCCCCATCCTGTCCCCTTGCCACCTGCCTCCAGTGTGGCTCCCTCACTTGGATCTTGCCCAGGACTCCTGTACTCTCCATGCGGCTGGCCACGTTCACCGTGTTGCCCCAGATGTCGTATTGTGGCTTCTGGGCCCCAATCACTCCAGCCACTACTGGTCCGTGGTTCAATCCTGACAAGAGGTGTGGTAAAGAGGGACTTTGGTGGGAGGGATTTGAGGAGGGAGAGTGGAAGAGGAAGCGAGGAAGCTCAAGGAACTAGGGTGAAGGGCCTGGGGTCCTTAGAGGAAAGGAGTGTGGGGTTGGAGGAGTGGGGCTTGGGGACAGGACTGGGTGAGCCTCAGAGCTCCTGGCCCAGTAGCTTCATGCTCCATCCCAGGGGTGAGTCTGGAGGGGGGTCCAGGGATGAGCTGGGGAGCACCTAACAAAGGACTTGGGGGAGGAAGAGCTTGGGGAGGCGAGGAGGAAGTCTCAGACTGCTCCAGCAAGGGAGGGGCCTCACCCACACGCAAGCGGAAGTTGTTGAATGAGTGCTTGTTGATGACATCTAGCTTAGACCCGAGGGCCACCGTGAATTCCACCATGGTGCCAAGGTGGCTGCAACTTCGCTCAGCATCCTAGCAATGGGCCAGCCCACCAGAATGGGTCAAGGAGGGCAAAGGAATAAGTCCCACTATGAGCCCACCAATGAGAGTCCAGACAAGGGTTGGTAGGTAAGGAAGGGATGCGGTACCTGCTGTGCGTCCTGTCCAGAGGTGGCATTTAAGCCTGTAGCTGCCATGTAGGTGCTGCCAATGGTTTTGATCTTCTCCACGCCACTGAATTTGGGCTTGGAGAGCAGCTGTATAGAGAGGAGGCTGTGTCCTCAGCCTCTCTTGCTCGCTCCCTCCTCTCTCCCAGAAACCCAGCCCCAGGCCTTTGGAGGCTAAAGGACCAGGTTGTCGGGTTAGGGATGGGGGCAGGAGGGAGAGTGGGTAGTGGGCAGAGTTGGTGGAGAGGACAGAGCTGGGGGATCAGAGGAGGAGCAGGAGGGCTGGGGAGGGGAGGATGGGCCTCATGGTTGGGAGAGCAAAGTGGAAGGAGGGACTGGTAGGAAATTCTAGAATCCATGACATAGGGCCTCGAGGACCCTTGGAGTTTTCACCTCATCAAAATCAGCAATTATCTCATTGAGCAGCCGCAGACACTCTAGGCCCTCGTGGTTGATATTGGATTCAGAGTAAAACTCCTTGAAGTCTGGGACGGAGGCGAAGAGGACACAAACACACTCGTACGACTGGTGGTAGAGATCCTAAGAGGGCGGGAGGCTGGGTGAGGGGGATGCCGTGTTCTTCCTCTCTGGGTCTGCAAGGGCCCTCCTCCCTGTGTCCACACTCCTCCCTCTCTGTTTAAGAAGGATTTGGAAGGAGGGGGGACAAGGCCAGGTTATCCCAGGGATGTGACATGGGAGTCAAAGATTGGGTCTCATTGTGATTCGAGGAGAGACAGGGGTTTGGGGTCAGGATTACCTCACAGCAACGTGAAGGGAGTCTCTTCTAGAAGTGGGATCACATCAATGGGCATTGTCTTTATATCCTATCTAATTACTGGGAGGTGTTGTCAGTTGTCAGCTTACAGACAGTTACAATTTGAAAGAGAAAATAACAGGGGAAACGAGCAGAGGGACAAGTAGGGAAAGATGGTGGAGAGGGAGTCAGATCTGAGGCTGGTTCACAAAACAGGCACCATGAAGTCCTAATTAGTCCTAGATTCTGGCTCTGAGCTTTCCAGTAGCCAGTGTGAAGACAGAAACAGGATCAGTTACAGGATTTCCAGGTCTATAAGAGAAGAAATCAGGAGAAGTGGAGCTACTCCTGATCTTGAGAGAAGAGAGCAGGTCGGTGGGGGCATGAGGCTGTGAAATAGCCCCTGAGCTATTTCTTTAATACCCCTCAATATAGGCCAAGAACACAGCCATAGCAGAGAGAGCGAGGTGCTGGTGGTACAAACAAGATGGTACAAATATGTGAGTGACCTTCTGACGGTCTGACTATGGCAAGATATTTGAGGGTCTAGAGCAACAACATCCAGTAGAAGTTTCTGTGCTGATGAAAATGTTCTATATATGTGTTGTCCTATATGGTGGCCACTAGCCATGAGCAGCTCTTGAATACTTGAAATGTGGCCAGGGTGACTGAGGAACTGAATTTTCTATTTTAATTAAATTACATGTAAATGTAAATGGTCACATGTGGCTAATGACTACCAGACCAGACAGTGCTGGTCTAGAGAGATGGGTGGACTGCGTTCTCCACACACGCCCATCAACACTCCACAAAGCTTCTGAAAGGCATGGAGTGACCATGAATGGGAGAGGACACTCCTTCCAAGTGGGAACTTGGAACATAGAGATTCGGTGCTCGTCAAAGACAGGGCCTGAGATCTTGTGAAAATGGAGGCACCTGACAGGGACAAGGGCTTGGGCAGCCACCTAACCTGCTGTGGGGGAACCCAGAGAGGACGGGCCAAAAGCCAAGACTTTTATCTGAAATTGGCCCCTATGGCATCTGCGGCTCAGGAGTCAAGGGTGAGGAGTCACCTCGTTGCGCCGGTTCTGGCCAATGAACTGGGGGGCCACGTGCGCAGGGAGCACATTCTCCAAGAGCAGCCGGGTCAGGTTCTCCATTGTCTCTGTCTCCTCCCGCTCCTGCCTCAGCTTCTTCTTCCACAGGAAGTCCAGGCGGCAGTAATATTCATTCTGGGGAGGGTCAGCAGGGGGCCATGGGGAGACACAGTGCAGGGGAAACCCCAGCTCCTGCGTGTTCACTCCCCACTCCATGACGCCTCAAACCACACCACCCCCTAGACTAGAGATAAGGCTTAAGGTGCCATTATCCCTGGAGAGAGCACCTCGAAACCAGAGTCAAACTCGGGTGCATAGAATTGGCAGCAGATTTTTCCTCAAGCGTGGTTTTCCTACATCAGGGGTTGGAGGGAGGAGGGGAGGGGAGAATTTGAGGGTATTCTCCTTGAGGAGTAAAGGAGAAAGAAAGGGAGCAGGAAGCTTCACTTAAAAGCTTCCAATGGGCACACCACTTGGGCTCAACCCAGAGATGTAAGATTCAGGGAAAAGGTGAGAGAGACCAAGTCACAGATATGGGGACCCCCGCCTCACCCTTCAGAGGGAGGCTCTGGAGGGCTGAGCTGGGTGACTTACCTGCCGAGCCAGGACAAGGAGGGTAAAGAAGAAGATGAAGAAGGAGATAGCGCCCATCATTTTGGGCTCCTTCAGCACCCCTGGCCTGAAGAGGATGGGTCAGAGTTGTCTCTTGCCCTGCCCCTTCCCGATGGCCTCCTCCCTGCTCTCAGGCCCACGGAGCCCTCAGCCTCCCTCCCCCTTTGCCCTGTGGGTGGTTCAGGGCAGTGAGGTGAGGACAGCTCTGCTCTGACCCATCTCACCCCCGTCCCAGACGGCCTGGGCACCTCTGTCCAGCGCTCGTGCGCACCTGGAATCCGCGGGGCCCAGATAGAGGCGGGCGATGAGGCAGTCAGACAGCCAGGCGTGGGAGTGCAAGAAGAGGGAGCAGGAGGCCGTCAGCCACAGCAGGAGCAGCAGCAGCTTCAGTTCGAAGCTCATGTGCAGAAAGAGGGAGCAGGAGAGGAAACCCAGCACGCAGCAGTGCATGGAGTACTGTGGGGCCAGGCAGGGGGATCAGGAGGTGGGGCATGTCCCACCTCCAGGGAGGGGCAGGGGAACACCCTGGGGGCTCCTGTCCTGCCCCTCCCAGGGCCCAGGTCCTATATGAGGGGCAGGAGGTGTCATGCACACAAACACACACCAAGTGTGCTTATGTCTGTCCCAATCCACAGGATTGCGTGTTCTTCAACTAAGGAGGGGGGAGAGGGGCCAAGGAAGGTTCTGGAGAAGGAGATTCACGGCTGTGAGGAACACTCACTGGGATGCTGATGAGAGGCAGGGACCCAGGGAGCTCCCAGGAGAGGTTCAAAGCCATGGAGGACACATTGGGAGCCTGGAAAGGGCACTTCGATGCTGGCGGTAAGAAGAACTGCAGAAGGAGATGAGGAGCTGAGGGGTGCAGGCAGCTCCTTGGGCACAAGGGTGGCTTGTGCTGGGTTTCAGGTGGCCCAGGGATGAGTCAGGGACAGACTGCTCCAAAGGGATGGATTCTGCTATTTCTGGTTGGTGAGGGAGCCTCAGCACTGGGGTCCTTGCTTGGGGGGGCAGGGATTGGGGGAGTGGGTGTCATGAGCTCTAGTCTGCCATGGATTCACTGTGTGATCTCTTGTCAGCCATTTAACCACTCTGGGCCCCAGCTTCCTCTCTGTAACTTGGCGGGGGGCGGGGGGGAGATTCCTAGGGTGTAAAGGGAAAGAATTCCAGGAATGATTCCGAGTTCAAAAATCAGCCAAACTCAGCTATAAAGTCATAGTGAGTCAGCTAAGTAGTAAATATGTGCCTACATAGAAAAAAGACAGGAAGGATGTCCACCAAAGCATTATTAGCAATGATTATGCCCAAGTAGTAGATGTGGGTGACTGCCATTTTTTCTTTTATACTTGTCCAACATTTCCAGCATCCTCTAGCCTTAGTTCAGATGCTCCCCACATCCAGGGGTTCCCTTTCAGCCTCTGGCAGTTTCAGCATACCCTGATGGGGGTGCTTAGGGTCCCCTATGCCCTCACCAGGCTGGTAATGGCCATGGCGAAGACGAGAAGGATGGTGGCGGTGCCCAGGGCGACTCGCAGTCCGGGCCGTGTGGACACCAGGCCAGACAGTGCAGGCAGCCAGTGTAGCACCTTGGGGCCTTTCAAGACACACCTCTGTGGAAAGAGCATGGGAGTCTTAGCCATGGGGCCAGGGCACCTACTTCAGGCCAGGTCATGGTTAGGGGCCTCAGATTGCTACTTCCGCCCCCCTAGCCCATCTCACCGTCAGGTGCTCTGAGAAACAGATGAAGAGGAGGAGGAGGAAGAGGAGGAAGGTGATACTATAGGTGATGGCCAGAGCTGGGGGCCTAAAGGGAAACAAAAGTGAGGCCTTGAAGAGCCAGAATAGCCTCCCTGTGTGCTGGGAGGGTGCCGCATCATCTGGTTGGGAGATGGGGAGAAGCGGTCCTGGGTTGATTTTGCCAATGGGGTCTGTGCTGATAAAAAATATTACATGCTGCTGATCTGGGAAAGCTGAGGGGTCTAGGGCAGTGTTGGGGCGGGACAGGAACTAATAAAGTAGGGACAATATTGGAAGGGGGCAGGGGGCTCACGAGAGTGGCTGAAGCTGCATCAGACTGGTCTCTGGGCCTTCAAGCCAAAGCTCTTTCACCTGGGCGAGTTTGGAACAAGTCCTCCCCTCTTCCGGCAGGGGGCTAAGAGTGAGGACCTACTTTCTAAGCTATTTGCTGTGAGATTTAGGCTTCTCGATGGGAACACACCTCCTTCATAAGGATATTGTTAGAATCGAGAGACAGGCATGTGAAAATGCTCTGGTTATGTGGAAAGCACACAGGATGTACAATGATAAGACGAGGGCGGTGATTATCACCGGTTCCCAGAACACGTATTTCCTCTGCGGGTCTGAAGCCAGGGGAAAGTGGGCAAAGGAAGACAACGTAGGTGGGGGATCAGGAAGAGCCAGGGGGTCCGTTTTTGAGAATCAGCTCTCTCACCTGTTTGTCACCAGCATCTGGACGATGAAGATGGAGAGAAAAACCAGGAAGGTGCAGGCTGTGTAGTATTTGAAGGCGGGGAGTGCAGAGAGTCGATACTGGAAGGGAGGGGTTCGGGGGGAGACAGGGGCACCAGTGCTGCCCATCACCTTGAAGGTGTTAATCCCAGGCCAGGAGTTGGTCCCCTAGACTCACTGAGCCACCCTCCAGTTCCATCCCAGGTAGCCCCTACCAGTGCTGCCCTCCTCCCATCCATCACCACCCAGTAATTCAATCTACAGGGTGACTTTCCTTTGGGAGAGAGGCACAAACCCTCACCCCGGGGATCACAAACTGAGCAGACCTGAGATGGGGAGGTGGGACCACAGAGCCTGCTCCCTCCCCAGGGCTGAGGAACTAAGATTGGGAAATCCTCTGGTGTCACCACCTCCTCCCAGCCCACCTCTTTCTCCATCTCCTTCTCTCGGAAGTACAGTGTCAGTGGGTTGAAGTCCTTCGACTGCTTCCACTGTCTGGTGAGAGGTGGGGGGGCGGGGTGGGCAACAAGCCCCAGAGAGGAAAGGGCAGGGCAGGGCCAGAGAGGGTAGGAGGGCATGGTCAGGCGAGTCTTTCCCTGGGCTAGGGCTGAGAAGCCCCTCTTTTCCTCCAGGTCATCAGGGGAGCGCCATCCCTTCTCTACCACATGACCCCGGGGCCTCAGCCCCCCCAGCCCTCTTCTCATCTCCGTACTTCTGAGAGTTGAGCTGTTCAATGACCTGGAAGAACTTGGCATCCCCGGTGTCCAATTCCTCATCTAGTCCCCGGGGGGTACGGCTCCTGCACAGTGAGAGTCCAGCCTGTCACCACGGAGACCCTCAAAAGCATCTGGGCAAAGCAGGAGCAGCCCCCTAGGAAGGTTGGAGGTAGACCACCCAGACAGCTCCACTGTCAAAGTCACTTGGGCCTCCTCACCGGTCCAGGCTCCACTGGGGGCTGAAGGAAGCCAGGGCCTTCTCCTGTTGGGAGAACACAGAGGGGATGGGGAGATGGGGAGCGTCCTTGGAGCCACTTTGCAGTGAGGCATCCCCCAAATGCACGCCTCCTTGGCTGTTTCCCCCGCCTCTAATGACTTCTCTCTTTCTTTCTCTCTGTCAAATCCCACCTGCCCTCAAGGGAAGGTTCAAACCACATTTACTCTTTAAAGATTCCTCCTGACTCTTTAGACTCCCAGGGTCTTTATACTCTGATTTCCTCACAGTTGCTATCACTTACGAGCCAACCTTGCATCATCTATAGGCTTCGGTGGCTACTGACTTTTTGTATCTCATCTTCCCTAAGGGCTGCACCAATTCCAAAGGCAGCAACTTGCCCATCACCACCCGGGGGTGCCAAAAAATCCTTGTGAGTGTAAACTGAAGTGACAATGCAGAACATTGCGACTCCTCTCTGACCTTCTGTGATGGTCAGGCTGAGTTGGGAAGCATTTGGGGTGGAAAACAAAAAAATGGAGAAGAAAGAGAAGAAGAGACACAAACCTGGCTATAGTCATTTTCTTCTGCATGAAAAGGAGTGCACGGTGTGTGCAGAGATATGAAAATGACAGGAAGTAAAGCGGGTGAGGACAGCGCCAAGGAGGAGGGTGAAGCCCCGTAGCCACCACCCAGGGCAAGAAGTATGGCGACCGTTCTTCCCCGCTCATCTTGGCTCATGTGAGGAAGCAAGGTCACAAGGGGCCACATCATCGCCCCCAACCAAAGCCTTGTGTATGTGAGAGGAGAGACAGAGACAGAGACTGAGCGGTACGTTCCAGGTAAGAGCCCATCTATGTATGTATGCCTGGACCTAACTTTCCAAACTACCTACCTGTACCTTCCCACATGCCTGTAAGTTATTTGAAGGCAGGGAAAACATCTTATTCATTTCTGTCTTCTCAAGAACTAGCCTAGTGCCCGCCACATAGGGTTACTCAAAAATGGTGGAAGGAATGAATGGATGAGTGGTATATACCACCACTAACCCTGCCCCATCACCCCAAAGTTCCTGCTGTTTGAGGGTAAGCCAGTTGTGATTCTCAGGATTTCCAGCATTTGACCGAGAACCTGGGACTTCAGAGGCTGAGAAGTGAATTTCGGGGCTGGTGAGGTCCTGCCTCAGGAGATACCCTAGAACAAAGGGCTCCTACTCCTCCACCCTGACACTTCTTAGCCTGCACACCGGTGGTGGGGGTGGAGGTTTGGCATGGGTTCTGGGGGGCATTCCCACCATGGGGATTGCACCCAACGTTGTCCACAGTCCCTGGGCTCCCAGCGAACTGCACCTTCTCCTCCACCCCACCCTGAAGGCCTCATGCTACAACAGTCAGCTGGGTCTTGAATTCTTCCTTCCTCTCCCTCCAGCTGGCTTAACTCTTCTGACCTCTCCCCTCCTCCATGTTGACACTTAAAATTAAGTACTCCTCTGAACCACTGATGCCAGTGTCCCCCCGTTCCCAAGGTTCACTGACCTCTGGCCTGCTTCCCCGCTGGATGGAAGAGGAAGGGGGAGGGAACACAGAAAAGATACTCTGGAGTCATTCCATAAATCCACTCAGATCTACCCAGTACAGAAGGTTCTGGGGCGATCTGCAGAAAGGTGGCCGGAAATGCCAAACAGGTTTGGGAAGATCAGGTAAAAGAGAGAAGAGGCTGAGGAACCAGTCCCGGGGCTAGCCTTTAGAGCCACGGCCTGCTCCTTGCATGAGGGGGTTCTGGCCGCTCATCATCAAGTACTAACTCCAAAAACCAGCCAGTGAGGAAGATTCAGGCTCCTCCATCAGTCATCTTTGCCCTTTCTCTGGAAAGAAGGGCAAAGAAGGGCTGAACCAGTGACCAGGGCAACTTGACAGTTCAGGACCTGGGGATGTCACCAAGTGACTCCCTGGTGGTGGGGGCTGGGTGGCTGGGAGTGGGCAATGGGAGTGGGTTTATGTAAGTTCTGGGGCTCGTGATGGAGGTGCACATACCGGGAGAGGAGTGGAGGTGGACACTGGGCTCTCTACGTGGCTCAGGTGGGCAAAAGGCTTGGCTGCACCCCAGGACTCCAGGTAGCGGGTCATCAGCAGTGATGGACGCATCTTGGGGCCCTCAAGAGAGGACAGCAACCCTCCTGCAGTGCCCTTCTCATCCTCTTCCTCAGCCTGGGATGTATGAGGGCTGAGAGTCAAGATCACAGACCCTTCCTTCCCCATTCTCCCCACACCCCTTAAAGGCTTGTTTCCCCTTCCCCTTGACACACACACTAGGACGCAGGAACTCAATCTTAGGTATAGACAAGATCAGGCCTGTTGGCTGTGGGTGAGTAGGGCTGACCAGCCCATGGGGTTCAGGCTGGGCTTTTACCCGGGGATCGATGACCAGGTAGGTAGGCTCCCCTAGCTCCCGAAGGTACGGGTCTCGGTGTTCCATGGCTGCATCCTCCACAGCATAAGCCCCTGCCAGCAGGGCCAGGGTAGCCCCTGTGATATGTACGCGCCTGGAAGGAGGGTGCAGTGGGAGTTAGGAGGGAGGGGCCCCCAGACCTCTCATTTCTTTCAAGGATCATTCCCAAGGGTCAACTATAGGAGGTGTCTCCCAGCTCCCCTCCCTACGCTGCATGGTCTCCCTAAGCCCCAAATGGGCTTGTGCTCATTTTAGGGAACTATGAAATGGGAGGTAGCATGTGGGAAGCCTGGTTGGCCTCTTGCTGTAGTCTTTTGCAGCCCCAGGTCTCACCCTGGCACGCCACCGGCCTCCATGTGGTTGGCCAGTGTGACGTCATGCGACCAGACATCGTACTGCCACTTCTGCAGCCCGATGACTCCGCAGAGCACGCTGCCTGAGTGCACACCCACACGCATGTTGATGTCCACACCAGTGGCTGCCCGAAGTTTCCTGAGCAGGGTGTATGGGGGACAATCTGAGTGCTGCCCTCAGCCCAGCCCATGCCACACCCCTCCCGCTCTCCAGGAGGACTTCCACCACCTTGCCTGCTCCTCTCGCACATTCAACCCTCGGTACTCCACCTGCCCACCCAGCTGAGCTCACCTGATGGCCCGGCACATGTCCAGCCCCATGCGCACGCAGTTGATGGCGTGGTCTGGCAGCGAGAGTGGCAGCCCGGAGACACAGTAGTAACAGTCTCCCAGGATCTTGATCCGCATGCATTCATGCTCCTGGGAGTGTGTGTGTGCAGGGGGGAGGGGGCACCTGGTTAGAGGCCAGAGGAGGCAGGAGGGAGCTGGGAAAAGTGGGAGCAAATGTGGTATTCCTGAAGAACTTCTGAGGTTGGGGCGGTCTGGGGTCTAGAGATTCCCCTAACTTGGTATGGGGCTGGCTGAGGTCCCCCCTGCAGGAGACTTTCTCAGAAGGATTTCCCAAGGGTTGGGATATCGGTGGCTCTCCCCAACTTTGGCATGTGTAGGGTGTATCCAAATTTGAGGATATGAAAGTTGCCTTAGGCTTGAAGATTTTTTAGGAAGATTAGCCCTGAGCTAACATCTGCCGCCAATCCTCCACTTTTTCCTCAGGAAGGCTGGCCCTGAGCTAACATCCGTGCCCATCCTCCTCTACTTTACATGTGGGACGCCTGCCACAGCATGGCTTGACAAGTGGTGCGTAGGTCTGCACCAGGGATCCGAACCAGCAAATCCCAGGCTGCCTGAGCAGAACTTGCGAACTTAACCGCTGCGCCACCAGGCTGGCCCCAGGATTGAAGCTTTTTGAGAGAGACTCAAGATGAGGTTGCTTGGGGACCTCCCTGGGGTCTGAGCAGGTGGCTGGGCTGAGGTTGCATAGGGCAGAGAATTCCCTTGGAAGGGCCTCCTAAGGTTAGAGCATCTAAAAATCTAGATTTGGTTGTAGTGTCCAGAGACACCTATGCTGGGGCTCTGAGCATATTTGGAGGTATGGTGGTTGGGGCATCTGTGGAGACCTTAAGAGCTCTCTCCAGGTTTGTGGTGTGTGGTGAGCAGCCCCATGACTTGGGATGTTTGAGAGGGTTTCCTACTCCCATTGCAATATCTGGGAGCCCATATGGCTGGGAAGTGGGACTGGGATCCTAGGAGGCAGGAGTTTCCTCTGGAAGGGGCTTTCCACGGTGGGGCATTTAAAAGTCCCTGGGTGGGGAGGGAGGCCCCCTCTGACCTTGGCGATCTGGTCGAACTTGCCAAAGAGCTCGTTGAGCATGAGCACCAACTCTTTAGGGGAGCACTCACTGGCCAGCCTCGTGAAGCCCACGATGTCAGCATACAGCACGCTGGGCAGGGCAGACTGCATCAGTGGGGCCGGGGCCACAGCCCACGGCCCCTCCCCTCCAGCCATCCTTCCTCATACCTGACTCCCTGGTGCCTCTTGACATAGAGGCTATGGAAGTTGTTGGTGCTCTCTGGCCGTGACCCCTGTCCAGCCTGCAGCCGTGCCATGATCTCTGCCTTCATCTCTTGGGCCAAGTAGGCAGGAAGGATGGACAAGAGAAGGTGTTCCTGGGGGAGGTCACTATGAGTACCAACCCCCCTGTATCCTTAAGCCAGACGCCTCAGCTGCCAAAACCCCCAGGAGCCCACACACTTCCCCAGTCCCCCTAAGTGTTCCCCAGGGCGCTCCCCAGGTCCTCCCCACCATGTACAGCCAGGCTCCAGCACCCTATCCTGCTCTGATCATCTTTAGGGACTGAATTCCCAGCACCAGCGCAGGAATTAGAGTCCTTCGTTTAGCATCCTAGCATACTAAGGTGCTTTCACAAGCTTCAGTTTGAGCCTCAGAACAACCTTCCATGGTGGGCACTAGCCAGATTTTACAAAAGAGGAAATGGAAGTGATCCTCTCAAAGTCATTCAGCTTGTGAAGGAGCCCGGTTGTGTGAGCTAAACAACTCCTCTCTCCCAGCCCTGGGCCCGCCCGGCCGCCCAGGCTCCGAGGACCTGGTGCTTCTTCTCGGTGTCCAGCCGCCGGCGCGAGTGCAGGGAACTCAGCGCCTCCCGGAACGTGGCGCGCAGGGCGCGCTCCATCAGCGCCTTGTGGTACGCTCCAGCCACGTTCCCGCACAGGAACAATACCGCGTTTGCTGCCAGCTGTGGGTGAGGGTCAGCTTCAGAAGGCGCTGGATCCGGGCAGGGGTAGGGGTGGCTATGTGTGTAGCTGGAGTTGGTCTCCAAGATGGCTGAGGAGGACTCTACAGTTACAGACCGAATTATGTCGAGGCAATCGGTGCCACACTGTGGGATCCGTAGGGGGCGCTTCTCCTCCCCCATTCCCCCTGCTCCAGAAGACTCTTGGTTGCTGCACCAACAGGTCTAGAAACCTTTGCACATACGTTTCCTCTACCTGGAATACCACTCCACCATCCCCATCCCCTACCCTCACCGAAGCACAAAACTACTCGGGCTCCAATTTTTACATTCTCTGTGAAAGTTCCATCATCCATATCTGTCCCCACCCCCCTGGTACCCTGGGGAACTCCCTAACCCGTGGGCTCAGAGTCCTCTTCTGGTGTCTGCAGGCATCGTGCTGCACTGGTGTCCCAGCTCCAAGAGGGCACGGACGAGGCCTATCTATGTTTGTATCCTGCGCCCAGCATTGCGCCGTGTCATGGAGGCACGGCTTAGCAAACGGTGGCTGAACGCGCAGACGAACCAAGTAGCGCACAGGGGAGCCGGCCCGGGGTTGCAGCCTGGGCTATGTGAGCGCTCACCTGAGGCAGCAGCGCGGGCCTAGAGTCGGGTTGAGGCCCAAGATACAGCCCAAGAACCAGCAGATGTGAGAGTGAGGAGGCGAGGCCCGCGGCGGTGGCGTCCCGCATGCCCAAGGGCAGCATGGCATAGACCGTGAAGATGACAAAGAGGAAAAAGGATACCTGGGGGAAAGGGGCATAGGAAGCTGCAGTCTTAGGCTGCTGGGCAGCTCACTTCTTGTGGCCTGTGTGCGAGTTCGAGGCCCGAGCTTCCCCCTCCCCCTCTCTCCTCCTGCTGCCCCTCTCACCTGGTCCCAGGCGCTCACCACGCCCCCGGTGAACAGGAAGCTGTAGCCTAGCGCAAGCAGCGCTGCCCACACGAGGCCGGACAGGGGACGCGTCCAGCGCTGCAGTCGGTGCTCGCGGGAAGCCAAGCCCAGCAGCAACGAGAAGCCGCCCAACGCGCACAGCACAGTGGTCAGGAAGCCCGTGTCAGAGGCCAGCTCCTGTGAGGACGGGGCGCGTGAGGTCCGATTGGACTGTGGAGTCTGGGGACTCGACCAGAGGAGGAAGAACGGGCAGCCCCACCGCCCAGTGCTGAAAAGCATCTCAAACTCAACTATGAAAAGGAGGTGGAGCCCCTTGGCTTGCCATTCGTATTAGGTAGAACCATACGAAATCGCGGATCACCTGTTTTTAATCTACATAGCCAGCAGTCTAGTATGGTTCAACCGAAGATATCACCTGCACGCTCCAGCGGCGCCCAAATCTTGGACCATCTACCTAGAAGACCGGGCTCCCACTCGAAATGGGCCATTTGTGAATCTATGACTTTTCTGAGCCTGTTTTCTCATCTGTTACGGAGGAATCATAGCACCAGCCTGGGATCCCTAAGCAGGTGAAAAATCCTATCTCACAGAAGCTCTTAGCAATGATTGTACCCAAATCTGGACAATTCGCTGAGGAGATTCCTTGCCAGGCACAAGGCTCGATTTCCGGCCCCTGGCAAAGCTGTCCTCCAGCAGCAGGGGGCGCCCCATCCTCCCTCGAAGCCAAGGGCTGCGCTCCCGCCACCCGCTTCAGGGCGTAGAAGTCCCGCTGCTGTCCCCGCCCTTTGTCCCCACGTCTTCCTGGACTTCGAGGTGGACCAGCCGGGATGGGTCACGTACAGTGATTTTCCCACCTTGCCTCTGGGAGAGTGAAAAGAAAATTTGCAGCAGGGTATTTCCAGAAATGGAATTGAAGACTCCTTTTCTCTCCCCAAAAGAAACTGGAAATGGGTTTATTTTGGGGACTAAATGAGAGTGG